CATGTCCAAAAGTAGAGCGCCGCAACCCAAGGAAGGCAGAGTTAGAAATGCCCCTCAGCTCTCAACTTGCAGAAGGCCTCAAGTACGGAATGTGAAGTGAAAAGGTTGAAAATCGCTCAACCTCCGAAGGCTTTGATTCATCGAGCGAACTTAGTCACGTGGTACTCCTACTGCTCGATGAAATGACCAAAGGAGGTTGAAGGATCAGAGTAGACTATCAAATCAAGAAAGGGAGAAGCTTCCAAGTGCGAAGAGTTGGCGAGCGAATGAATGACATTTCTACTGTACGGTGTAGAAGAACTCGCACATCGCGCCTAGCCTTGGAGAAAGGAAGAAGCAGTCAGCTAACGGCTGGCAATCGGCTGTCTGAAGAGTGATGGAAAGTTGCGACTGAGTGCAAGGGGAGCGAATAGACTTGTGGCACGGAGTCCACGAGAGAGCAAAGCTACTCGGAGTCCAGCAATAATCATGTAGCATTCCCGAATGATCAAAACTTTATACAGATACTCTCTACTATGTAATCCTGGCCTGATAGTAGTCCGCTTCAAAAGGAACTGTAAAAACAACTAAGAAATTCGACCAATGACCTACAGTTAGACACGGAATCACGCAAAGTGGGAGATTGCCACGATGCACGGGTTTGCTCCTGGCTGGGGCAGGCGGACACTCCGTTCCCACGGGGACGAACGGCATGCATACCGAGAAGCGAAGATCCTAAATGAAGGGTATACTCACCGAACAAACTGTTGAGTTTCAATCGGTAGTTCGTCCTCGGAGAGAGGCTCGTCTCACCTTTTCCTCCACATAAGCCACCTGTTTAATGCAGTCCACTCTTGGGCAATTATTAGTTTTAGCAGAAACTGGGCCGTACAGCGTGTTCGGCGGATACTTTTCGGATTCATCCTTCTCGCAGAGCTCGTTGAGTATGCGGTGGTCGCTACGAGGACTCAGAGGATCGCTGGGAAAGAAATAACAGTACGGTCAATAATGTGTGAGTGGACATACTTCAGGGTCATCTGTTCCTGGGGGACCACAGCCTCAGTCAGTTGTCCGAGGATCACGAAGATGTAGGCGCACAGCTTCATCAAGAACATTGGAACGTACTAGAGTGAATACTCATCCTGCATCATAACTCCAAACCTCTAACTACTATATCAGGGCCCGCAATTCGCGAGGGAAATCCACACAGCTTCCACGGGGAAGAGCCGAGGCGCGTGAGGTCCGAGAGTTCTGGTACTAAGTCGGACGACTCCCTAGTAGCTACAAGGTATAACTGTAAGGAGTGAAATCAAAGAGTGTATCACACTCTTTAGCAATACTCTCCCAAGCTGATTTCTAATGTTATAGCACATGGAGGTATCAGTTCGGAAATGGAGGTCTCTTGTAACTCAATTCTAGTCTCTCAGCCAGCATATGGCTATAGTCAAGAGCAATCATTGTAAGAGAGTAGACAATCTCGGAAAGTGTAGTCATTCTACCACGTAGGAGGCTGACGGTGCTACATGCGATTGCTTCTGGTCCCATTCATACCGTACATACGTGCATAGTCGAGTACATGTAACTCACAACGACGTGAAAAAATATATCTTCATAACTCTCTCGGATTCATGCTCATCATTAGGAGTGGGGACTGTAGTATGATAGCCGATCCATGCCAAAGACGGCTATGCGTCGATCCCACTCCAAGTCTGAGGGTCGTGTTTGTCCACCCACACAGCATCGGGGCGATGTTGTGGGGGTGGACGAGTGACGCGTGAACGATCTGCTCTGCGCATGTGTTGCTTGGTCGTGACTCATAGTCGGAGGGAGTCATCACGATCTCTATCCTGATCTCCAAAAAGTCATAAAAATTGTTTCTGAGTGAAAAAATCCAATTGCACGCACGGTTTCGCACGATTAAACGTATTAGGTATGCCTGGAGCCGATTTCACAAGCCCCGTAAGGCTCGCAAGGCGCTAGGCGATTTTTATACCCCACGGCGGTTAGGTTCTTCCACAGGGGCCACAATTTGGGGCCTAATTATAAGGTGAAGGTCGGTAAGGTGCCTTACCTTGAGGCGCGTTGAATCAGAAATCCGTGTGAAATATGCGCCTCATATCTCGATCCCTCATGCTCCACAGAGAACCGAAGCATTATTGATCACGTTCTCTTTATTAGACGAAATCTGCCACTCAACTTGGCTGTTTTATGATTCTGCACGCGATACCCACATGCCCAGGAAGAATTCCGATACTGTAGACTTTGACTATGGATCGTACAGATGTGGATTTGAAACCGTTTCTGGTTGAGGCTGTTGGTCAATGGACTCTCACTCGTTTTACGTGAAGTCGCTCATTACTCTGTATAAAACGCGATACTGGCGGCGATATTCAGTAGTCGTAAGATATGTTTTTCACTAGTGTTTTTTTCATATCACCAGGGTGTAACTCCACTGTTTCACTTGTGACTCGTATAATCTACAATGTCAGACGTGTTGGTATGTGAGTTACTCCGGTCATGCTGACGGAATCAATTACACTAAGGCATATCTTCGAGCTATGGCATAGCCGCCCCGCAGTCAGACATTGTAATGACATGTCCTCCTCATTCAACCAATATAGAAAACAATAGGAAATTGGTTGTCTATTGTAAAGGGGCATTACGAAGGCTTATGGGAAGAGGCAATAAAATACGACTAATGTAGGAGGAGGAGGAGGAGACATAATAATAATAAACATCATCATTTACAGAGAGGGTCCTTACAGCATCATAGAGGACTCCTTAGAGACTCTTCTAGAGTATACAAAGGCCTTACATATCCTACCACCCGATATCAAGCTCAATGATCATCAGTTGGAGCACATCCGGTACGTTTTTGATATGAAACGTTATTTGATGGGGGATTAGAGTATACTGAAGTAGCCTACTGCACGAGGGGATGCTCGAGACTGCCACTCAGAACGCAATATTACCCCTCGCAAGCTCGAGAAGCTCTCAGTGTGATAAGGGATCTATCAACTGAATCTGATGCCAACGATAGGCTCAAACGTTGGGCCATTGGAGCAGCCCAGTTGCTGTGCGGAAGCGGCGCGGACACGTCAGTTACGGTCAGTGGACGTTCTCTGGGGGAGGCCCTACTTTCGTTAGAACTCGAGGAATTTTATCCAATCAGGTCGAGCAACAACTCCTCATCACTGAGCTGCTCATCGAAGTAGCAGGAGATGCCGCTGTTGTACAAGACGTCCTCATCAACGCCGTTATTGACGTTCTCATGATGCATACTGCCATCGACTCGGAGCTCGGTGGACAACTCGCTACCGGTCAGACCTTCTTGAAGAATTTAGACTTCCGTGATTGCATTGAACATCTTTAAGGGATGACGTTAGGCTATGAGCCATCGAGGATACTACTGCTACTATCGACTCACCAAAAGAGTTGCTGTAGATTAAACGCTTTCGTTAGGTCGGACAGCATCATCATGCGAGAGTCTCCTCCCTTTATCGCGAGCCATTCATCGTCTTGTCGATCTCGTCGATGGAAGCAGATTGAGCTGCCATGATGACGAGCCAACGTGGATCGATCCTCTCAACAAGCTCACTAAAAGGCTGCTCACTTATAGAGAAGTACACCTCTTCTCAGCCTTGGAAGTAACCATGGTACGTTCAGGATTTCCCGACTGCTGTTGGCCTACTCCTCCTGGAATTCCCCCTCAGCGCTGCTATCGAGCGTATCGATGCGTGTCGTGACAATAACATAACGTCTATCATCGTAGGCCCTGCAACCTATGGTCCTCTCGGTTCCCTTCTGCCGTAGTGTACGTTTTTGCCTCTTCATGGATTCAGAAGTCCTTCATTCCGCTGATTTATGTCGCTTCCTTCAGAATAACCATAGGAGGGACTGTCGTTTGCGTTGGGTGGCACCTTCTCGAGACCACACCTTATCACAAGCCCTCACCGACCATGCTTCTCGTCTACTCGATGATTTACCCAAGTCCCGAGTGTAGCTTAAATTACTCATCCCCTCTCTGTACCCTACTCTTGTGTTACAGTCATCTCCGAATGACTAAGTGACTCCACTACCCCTATTATATATCGTACCGGGTACCAGCCTGGTAGTACAAGACTGATCTGCAATAGTTGGTCGGTGGTCACGGCAACCTCCTTGAGCAGTATTGCAGTGTCACTAGTGCTGTAATAACTCGTACTGATATCCTGATATCAATAATAGTCGTTGCTTTCATCCTGATACCTGATGAAAGCTGAACCGTCAAGTTCTTTGTGGTTCACTTCAGAGCCGTTGAGCATTCCACCACATTGGGAGTACTATAGATGCCCCCCAGTTGGGGCCCCAACCCTCATTTTGTCCGATCTGATCGGACCGATCAGTACTTGCCACGTACTGCATGGCATGGGTTTTTCTATCTTCTCCACGAGCCGATGCTCACGAGAGCAAATACTTGTTTTTGGAGGATGAGCTGAACATTTTTTTGATGCTATTGGATGTATTGTGAAACGTCCTTTCTGCTTACCATGCTTCAGTAATGACCTTTTACATTACTATAGTCTCAATTATTCTTGCTCGTGGGTATCCAAGGTTCGATGATGGAAGATACCAATTAGGACGCTTTTAGCTGTTGTCTTTACCCGCCTGGGCGCGCGCGTTTTCCCAACATCCCACAACGACTCGCGAAGCACTCACGGTGACTCAGGGGGTCTTTGGAGTAACCTCAAGAGTTGCACTCTGACCGGAGTTGTACTCATGGTGAACCTCATCCGTATCATGCCAACTTGACCTCAAGATATGCTCAGGAGTCCAACTCGAGTGTGTGCATGCGTGCATGACGTTTGTGTCGCCCGGTGAAAAGTCCGTGAGCCCAAGATCGACTACTCCAGCAAGCCGTCTTTTAGGGTCCAATTTATTATGTCCGCTTGTGCTACAATTTCCCTGAAACCATCGTTCTAATGCCGACCACTACTACTACCACATCCCAAGACGACGAGCCGACTCCCCCCGACGCGATCATGAGCCCAACTATAACGAATGTTGTGGACCTCGGCACGGGCCAACCTATCACTCTACCAGCACAGGAAGCACGAGTGGTGGAAGAGGTAATACAAATAGGCGGAGCGAAGCTGTAAAGTTATGGTTTAGGTTCTCAGCTACGGTGAGTTATCGGACTTCATAGAGGGTTCGGCTGAGAGACGACTTGTGGTTAAAGTGATGGATCCAGCAGCAACAGCTGAGGAGGCTCTAGAGGCTGTACAGTAGGTTGAGCACAGTCCCTGAGGAAGGTAGTAGCGATCTGCTGTTATGGTCAGTCTAGCTAGCATTGAAGACGGCATCGACTGTCGTGGTGCTATTAATGCGGTGAACGGCATGACTTTGTTGTTTTACGCTGCTCGAAGGGTCGATGATGAGAGTAGTCGAGATGTATGTCGGGGCCTCATCAATGAGTATAGGCTCGATCCGCACGTGGTCGATCGGGCTATGAGGCAAACTGCACTCTTTTATGCCGCATTGGTAGTATTCGGATTGGAATTTGTGGAAATATCATTATTACCCCTTCAGCTCGGTCATGTACTCACCATTGACCTCTTCCTCTCCCTCGGTGTTAGAGCTGCTCTCACTGACGTCCACAGTCAAACAGCCTTGTACTACTGTAGCCGAGAAGGGCATGTCGAGGCCATGAGAAGGCTACTGGACGGGTCCCCGACTGGTGAGGTTAACCATCGTGATTGTAACGGGCAGACGGCTCTTTACTATGCTGCACAAACAGACCAGCTGGAGGCCTGTATTTGCTTGGTAGAGGAGTACGGTTGCGATCCATGTGCAGTGGATACGTTTGGGGTCACGGCACGAGCATCTTCAGCAGCAGCTGATAGTGAAGTTTATCATTATTTGAAGAGGGCTGAGAACGGCTTGTTGACCTCTTCTGCAGGGGAGATGCATAGTTGTCGGAAGAGGAAAATTTTGGGCGGCGACTTTGATTACCTCAAATTGGCGCCGCATAACCCTCCGACATCCTACGTTCGCCGTGTGTATAGGCTTGTGCGGGCTAAGGGGAACAGTCACCCGTCCTCTCCAGCACTGCGGTACTTGCCGATGCAACCTGCTACTGCTGCTGCTGGGTTTGTGATGAAGTCTGAGGAAGAAGAAAATTGTACCGCTATGGATTGGCCGCGTGAAAAGGCTACTGGACATTTCCGCATGCTGTATCCCATAATAAGTGCAATGGGTTCACCGTTCTGGCAGCCTTGGAGGGGTCCATATCGCCAACTTGCTGGTTTGTTGAAGCGGTATGTGAACGGTTGGATCTTCCATAAGATTCCGGACGAGTCTATTGCTCCTGGGTATGCAGCAGTGGTGGCGGACCCGATCGATTTGACGATGATTTGTAGTAAATTGGATCATAAACAGTATGCTATGGCTGAGCAAGTGGATGCTGATTTCCGCAGGGTAGTAGTAGTAGTGGTAGTAGTAGTAGTAGTAGTAGTAGTAGTAGTAGTAGTAGTAGTAGTAGTAGTAGTAGTAGTAGTAGTAGTAGTAGTAGTAGTAGTAGTAGTAGTAGTAGTAGTAGTAGTAGTAGTAGTAGTAGTAGTGGTAGTAGTAGTAGTAGTAGTAGTAGTAGTAGTAGTAGTAGTAGTAGTACGTACTTATTTCAGATGTTCTCGAATAGCTACCTCTACAATGGTCGAGCCAGCGTAGTAGGGTTATTGACCCGATCGTGTGAGGTCTACTATGAGCAACAGTACCAAGGCATGGGGCTACCGGCCGCGATAAGAGCTGAGGAGGAAAGGATTGTTCGAGTGTATCGTCATTCGATGAATCGGTGTCAAGGCATGCTCGGTGGAGTAGAAGGAGTAGTGGGGGGCATGATGACTGATGATAGAGTAGATGAGGAGGAGGAGCAGGAGGAGTTGGGCCCTCCGGCACGATGTGAAGGATAGATGGTATGAAGAAGAGTTATTCCCCGATCGGTTACTTGACGGTGGCTTCTACCGTCGTGAGTTTATGAAATGCTCCCATAGAAGCATAAGGGTATGATGATGAGTATTATTATTAGGAGGATGATGATTAGTTTCATACCACACTTCTGTAACATCTCGACTCGTACTTATAGAATACACCGGAATCACGTTAGTATTGCATTCGTAATTACGTGGGAGTTGCGTTTGGAGTGGTATGGAAGCTCACTCGAAGGCTCTCACGATGGAGGCCACATCATCTTCATCATCAGCTACTGCAGAAGGGGAGGAGACGAAGGTGACTTTAGTCGAGTCGGGGAAGGAGGAGGTAGAAGGTGTTGCTGATAGGAGGGCGCTGGTTCGATCCCTGCACACGATGTTTTATCCCTTTTTTCGATTGTAGGAAGTTGTTCCAACAAAGGAGTCCGTTGTGGCTGAGGAGGGGAAGGAAAAGGAGGTACTAGACTATTAGTAGCAATGCTGCCGCTGGAAGACCCTCGGTTCGATCCCTGCACGTGACATTTTTACCCCACATTTATTCATCAAGTATAGGTTGCTCCTCCAGTAGAAGAGTCGGCGTCGTCATCGTGTCCAGAGGCGGCGAGCCAGGAGGCACCGACGCCACCGTGGTGAGGCGGGAGGGGGGTTCAGCTCGGCTTGGCAGGAGCATGTGTCACTTAGGGAACGACTGAAGAGGAAGGGGACACCAGAAGGTGAGTGATAGGACGAGTTGTGGAAGGAGTGGTATGAATAAATCTGGTAGGAGCACCTAGTCCTCGACAGCAGCAAGAGCAGCCCGTCTCGGCTCATCCCGTGGCGCCTTGTCCCGCTTCTGAGCTGGAGCGAACGGACGTGTGAGGTTATCCATGTTAATGTGGGCTTGAACTGCCTAGAGTAGGTTTGAGATCACCTCGGGGGTATCGACGAATTTGACCTTCCATCCTTGGACGGCCGATAACAAGCCTAAGGTGATGTCTAAGGGATTATTATGAATAATTCATACCACACCTTGGTCAGATCGTACCAACACACGAGCCGGCGAGGATGCGTGAAGGCTTGTTCTGTGAGTCTACAGTGGTGGATGAGTTGTGGCAGCAAAAGACGCGGATGGTAACGACTTCATATACAACTACTCTAAAACATGATGTTTTCAGGATCAACTATTCGATCGGCGTCTGGGTAGGGTCTACCATCGAGTTCGAGGGCGCATCTTCCCCACTACGATTAGCGGTAGTGCTAATGTGGGCATCTCAAATAGAGCTGGGGATAAATTGTGGGAGGTGAAAGGCGGAGCGAAGCGTTTCATGTTTTACATTTTTCGTCGTTGTAGGTTTTGGACGCCCTCGATGTTTGGCCCTCTCTTTTGAGGTTGGTTAGATCGGAGGGTGGTGGTCAGGATGGAGAAGAGGTGGTGTTAGCGGAGCGAAGCGAATTTTTTATGGCGATTTTTGTAGGCTGAGATGAAAATCCGATATGTCGACGTCTGTGGCGGTCCTGGGGCCTTCAGCGAGCTTGTGAAAAATCTTGGTAGTGCGTCATGGTGGTGGCGAGGACGGGTATATTTGATGCACAGGTGAACGTGAAAATGTTAAGACGATTGGAAAAGGGATGAGTCTGAAAATAGACGCGGCTCAGTCAAAGGAGGCCAGCTGCATATGGTGAGGTAACCGTCACGCGCCACGAAATTCACCCGTTGGGTAGGTATCAGCATCTTCTGGACTCTGAGGATTTCGATGCGGTGTGGGGTCCTGATGGAGATGGTAGGTGCGGGGATCTCGATTAGAAGCGACCTGTCATCACTCATACATGTCTGATACCACTCCTCGTTCGAATCGTCGCTGATCGTAGGGAATGTGTATTCGCCATCGAATTTGACAGCATTGGAGGAATCAGTGATGAAGATGGACGGTCGAGGGGCCCATTTGGTGATGGGTGATGGAGCCTTCGAGGTAGCGGTAGGAGTGGGTATATTAATTGTGATTTGCCGATGGTGAGGTATCGACCGACAAGAATGGTAATCATCTCGAGAACTACCAGGAAGTATACTCAGCAAGGATCATATTGTCAGAAGTGCTCACAATGGTGAGGAGTTGTTGTAAAGTAAGTCGTCTTTTTTCATACCACTCCATCGAAACTTCTGCTACCCTCAGGGAGGCTTCCTCGTCTGCAAGCTGTTCGACACCTTCAGCACTATCACTGCTAGCATCATCTACGTCACTACGCGACTATTCGAAAAGTGTTATATCGTTAAACCCCAACGATCAAGAGTGGTGAGGACTTCACAATTGGTGCTCCTCTTTATGAACCCCTCCAGGTGAACTCAGAGCGGTACCTTGTTGGTGTCGGCTTCAAAGGTCGAGAGAATCCTGACTACGACTTGCTCACTGCCGCGATGGAGTTTTGTCACTCCAGTTGTTTTACCGACACTGAAGGGCCGGAGAGCGTCGTGCCGTGTAAACTCTCGCAAAGACTCTTTTCTGACCGTTGGCTGTTTCAGTACATCTAATGGAAGAAGATAGAAAATTCCACATATCGTTAGCACAGTCGATTCGAGAACTAGCTTTAAGGCAGACCCAGGCGTTAGAAATAGTAAGGTTAACAATATAGTAGATGTGATAGTGTTGCGATTGGCTCAGTTGATGAATGCTGTTGATGAGGAGGTTGCAAGGGGGAAGGGAGGAATGTGGAAAGGTGGCAAAGGTTATCGATCGCAATCTCGGCGAGGTTATGAACCGCATCGGTGGAGAAGTGTACCCTATCAGTAACGTTTCGTGTTATTATAGTGGCAGTTGTGTTCACAAGTTGGTCGTGACTGAAACACAAGGCTTATAACGATTGATCACAATTCATGTACATCATCATTACTGGTGAATTCTTCTTCCGGTATCTATTAGGAAACCTCCGGGTTGCATGAATTGGGAGAACTTACGTCTTCCAAAAGCCTTGGTGATGTACCAATGAGATCTGTGGTATCCTTGCTATCAATTCCCGTCCTATTTGGGTAGAGAGTCTTATCCATAGTGGATTTCTGATAGGGAAGTTGCCATGTGTTTCCAAGCGAAAAGCCCACCGTCGAAAAGAACGAGTGATATCTCGACTGCATGTGTGGTTCATGTAGTGTTTGCATATGGTGAATGTAGGTCGTGAGTACACACACTTGGCTCAACTGAGGGGGAGGATGATTAGACCGCGTACCATATAAGATCATAAAAAATATGCCTTCTTAGCTTAGTTGGTAGAGCACCCGCTTAGTAAGCGGGAGGTCGTCGGTTCAACTCCGGCAGAAGGCTTTTTGTGGAAATATATATGTTCCACAATATTTCAACGATTACTTCGATAAAATGAATTAAGTGCTGAACTCACCAGAAGTGTTTGAACTGCAATAAATGTAGTCCTGATCCACATTAAGGTTGCCGACGAATACCCGAGACCTTCGTTATGACGTCCTTAGAGAAGAACCAACTCGATCGAGGGTATAATGCTGCTCATCTGGTTGTACCTCCATCGTAGGCCGTAATAAAGCTGCACGTAGGCATCGTTAGGAAGGCCCAGGAGGTCATCGCCACCCATGAACCTATAAATACATCATGCACCATAATCGTACTCTCCTGAGCCAGAAACTCCGTAGATGATGAAGGAAGGCCCTGCAACTGACACGTCACTCTCGAGTCGGGAGCCTTATCGACAATTAACACGCCCCCTTCCTGTACTAGAGCATTGGCATCCTAACTTCCACTCTACTGTTGCTGCCCTTGACCATTCTTCCCCGACCTACCTCGAGCCAAAGTCTGCATCGTGCCTTCGAAACTCATCCGAGAGCAACACGTCCGGCCTTTCTCGCGCCTAAGTGACTATAGTCCTTCCTGAATCCTTGATTAAACGGCACTCACACTTCCAAAACAGAGGAGTGGCGGAGCACCGCCGGCAAATAGGAAGAAAGAATGGGTGGTAGAACTACTGACCTCACCGTGAATGGCCATGTGATTCTCTGAAAAGAACAAGCTGCCGACAAACGCTGAGACCGATCAAGAACTCACCAAATTCATCTCAACGAAGGCGCTGATGATGGTCCACATGAGGATACTGAATACTCCCGTTGTGATCGTGAGATCAAGGCAGAGGCAATTCGGGAAGTTCCAAACGCCAACTTTAGCAGAGCGCTCGTCAGTAAAATACCTGTGGGATAGCAGAGATGTCGGGCCTGGGAATCGTACTCGGGTGCTCTCTCTCACACTAGTTTGGATATCCCCACGTTGATGCCGAGCACAAAGATGCTCGCTGTTAGTGACAGGATGATGATGTAGAGAGGAAGGCTGACCTCCCTCAGTCGAGAGCCGGAGTCAGCCATAGAGGCCTAATTAGATACGCACACTCAATCCCAAATTGACCCAACGCAGAGCGGCTGTTGACGGAACGGATGTCTAGACCATCATCATCAGAGTCTGGGCTTGGACACTAAGACTCAGAGTTAAATGAAGTTCTCCTTGGAAAACCCACCGGTCCACGCTTTAAAGAGCTGCCTTATGAGACTCTACGTTTCCACAACTATGCACTCTGGAGAAAGCTTGATCAACATCCTTCAGCCGCGTTCTTCACGAAGGGTGTGTACCCACAATAAAATAATCCATGTTCTATCCAGAGACTGTTACCCCCAGGCGAAAAGTGAGCAGTAGCTACATCTTGCGCTTTTGGATGAACGGAACAGCGCATTGTTATTAGCGCGCGCCCAAAAACAAGAAGAACGTATGCTTAGGGTGGTTTTCGCTATCTCGACTCGGTGTCAGCTAGTTTAACTGAACTCAAGGATAGGGTACAAGGATAATGAGGGGGGATGCGTAATTTAAGCTACACTCGGGACTTGGGTAAATCATCGAGTAGACGAGAAGCATGGTCGGTGAGGGTTTGTGATGAGGTGTGGTCTCGAGAAGGTGCCACCCAACGCAAACGACAGTCCCTCCTATGGTTATTCTGAAGGAAACGACACAAATCAGCGGAATGAAGGACTCCTGAATCCATGAAGAGGCAAAAACCTACACTACGGCAGGAGGGAACTGACAGGACCATAGGTTGCAGGGCCTACGATGATAGACGTTATGTTATCGTCACGACACGCATCGATACGCTCGATAGCAGCGCTGAGGGGGAATTCCAGGAGGAGTAGGCCAACAGCAGTCGGGAAATCCTGAACGTACCATGGTTACTTTCAAGGCTGAGAAGAGGTGTACTTCTCTATAAGTGAGCAGCCTTTTAGTGAGCTTGTTGAGAGGATCGATCCACGTTGGCTCGTCATCATGGCAGCTCAATCTGCTTCCATCGACGAGATCGACAAGACGATGAATGGCTCGCGATAAAGGGAGGAGACTCTCGCATGATGATGCTGTTCGACCTAACAAAAGCGTTTAATCTACAGCAACTCTTTTGGTGAGTCGATAGTAGCAGTAGTATCCTCGATGGCTCATAGCCTAACGTCATCCCTTAAAGATGTTCAATGCAATCACGGAAGTCAAAATTCTCCAGGAAGGTCTGACCGGTAGCGAGTTGTCCACCGAGCTCCGAGTCGATGGCAGTATGCATCCTGAGAACGTCAATAACGGCGTTGATGAGGACGTCTTGTACAACAGCAGCATCTCCTGCTACTTCGATGAGCAGCTCAGTGATGAGGAGTTGTTGCTCGACCTGATTGGATAAAATTCCTTGAGTTTTAACGAAAATGGGGTCTCCCCCAGAGACCTGTCACTGACCGTAACTGGCGTGTCCGCGCCGCTTCCGCACAGCAACTGGGCTACTCCAATGGCCCAACGTTTGAGCCTATCGTTGGCATCAGATTCAGTTGATAGATCCCTTATCACACTGAGAGCCTCTCGAGCTTGCGAGGGGTAATATTGCGTCCTGAGTGGCAGTCTCGAACATCCTCTCGTGCAGTAGGCTACTTCAGTATACTCTAATCCCCCATCAAATAACGTTTCATAACAAAAACGTACCGGATGTGCTCCAACTGATGATCATTGAGCTTGATATTGGGTGGTAGGATATGTAAGGCCTTTGTATACTCTAGAAGAGTCTCTAAGAAGTCCTCTATGATGCTGTAAGGACCCTCTCTGTAAATGATGATGTTTATTATTATTATGTCTCCTCCTCCTCCTCCTACATTAGTCGTATTTTATTGCCTCTTCCCATAAGCCTTCGTAATGCCCCTTTACAATAGACAACCAATTTCCTATTGTTTTCTATATTGGTTGAGTGAGGAGGAGATGTCATTACAATGTCTGACTGCGGGGCGGCTATGCCATAGCTCGAAGATATGCCTTAGCGTAATTGATTCCGTCAGCATGACCGGAGTAACTCACATACCGACACGTGTGACATGGTAGATTATACGAGTCACAAGTGAAACAGTCAGTTTTTTACCGAGTAATACGACAATTCACGTGAAACGGGTTAAACTCCATTGAACAACCTTGACCAGAAATGATTTTAAATCCACGTCTATACGATCCATAGTCGAAGTCTATATCATCGGAATCCTTCCTGGGTATGTGGATACTGTTTGCAGAATCATAAAACAGCTCATTTTGGCATCGTCAAGCTAAGTGGCAAATTTCGTTCATTACAGAGAGCGTAATCAATAATGCTGCGGTTAAGTGTGAGGCGCGAAAGATCGAGATATCGTTCATAATAAATACGATTAATCGTGCGAAATCGCACGTAAAAATGGATTTTTTTACTCAGAAGCGATTCCTACGACATTTTTAGCCAGGAGAACAAACATCAACGGGCCTGCTTCATAGGAGAAAATTGCGCCTTAAACTTAAGCTACACCAAAAGTGTACCTTGAGTAACTCCTCAAGCTGCTCCTGGATTTGAGGCGCCTTAAATTGAGTATCCTTGTGAAACAGTCCCAACGTTTTAGAGTTTCATTATTGCTGGGAATGAGGAAGTGCGAGTATGGTGTGAGATTGAACGGGACACAGAGTTATATGATGTTTACGCAGTAGACAAGGTTAGTTGTGGGTGCCGCAATGACCGTTTCATGTGGCGCACTACGCAAGATTCTTCGTGACAGTTAGAGTGGAGATCATCGATTGACAGGTTATCGTGAATTTTGTCCATAACCCATTCGATTGTCTTGTGAGAAGTTTTCACCTCGGCCTCCGCTGTTAACGTTATTTTAGCCCGCCCTCCCACGCCACGGTGGAGATGATGCACGAGTTTGCTTTTAGCTGCTCAGCTCGTGGTCATCTCGCAGTACAGGCTCATAGACCTCACCATACCTACGGCCCTGCTCTGGAACTGGACGTCGGTGGTCTACGACCTCCGTCGAGATAGTCTCCGGTTCCTGGTTTACGGGCCGCAGGTTTGCAGTCTGGTGTTTCGGTCTGGCCTTCTGCTGCGCTCACCCGAACTCTGTATTTTTAGGAAATGTGCGGCTTCCCCAACTAAACACACACGACAACACTTAGAGAAAAATAGACCGTGAGTCAGTAGAAAAAATTGTAGCGATATTTTCCTGACTGAAGTGCCTATAAATGCTGACTCAGCGATATCAAATGAGATTGATATTCTTTAGGGATTTAATCTCAATCATATATTTTCTCGGCTTACATCCACAGAACGTCCTTGCGACTATTCCTTTCCTCAGTGTCAGTGCTTTCTCCCCCCATCAACATAGTGTTCTGTTGATACCAGTGAATCACAGGCTCAGATCGGCCAACGTATACGAATTTAGAAATACCCTCCGCCCTATGGAGCTGGGGCTTCAAATAAGTGGTGGCATCAACAGATCGGAAATGGAAGGCCACACAGGAAAATGTAGGACCATAACCCGTAACCGTGCCGAAAAGACTGAGCAAACCATGCTCCAGGATATCGGGACCCGATATCCGGGTGAAAAGACGAGTGCCAAGCACATAACAAACCGTTCACGTGTCACTATCGTCTACGCGCACAACATCGCCCCGATGCTGTGCAGGTGGACAAAAACGACCCTTAGACTTGGAGTGGGATCGGCACATAGCCGTTTTTGGCATGAATCGGCTAGCATGCTACAGCCGACACTTGTAATCGTAAACATGAATCCGAGGGAGTTATGAAGATACATTTTTCACTTTGCTGTGGGTTACAGGTACTGGACTACACACGTATGTACAATCCGGTGTGAATGGGACCAGGAGCAATCGCATGTAACACTGTCAGCCTCCTACGTGGTGGAATGACTACACTTTCCGAGATTGTCCACTCTCTTACAATGCTTACATTCTACTATAGCCATATGTCGGGTAAGAGACTAGGATGAGTTACAAGTAGCTGAGGACTCCTCAGTGAGGAGAGACTTTTATACCCGAACTGATACCTCCATGTGCTATAACAGTGTAAGTCGGTTTGGGGGCGTGTTGCCATTACGTTCACCGTAATACGGTGACATACTTTTCGGTTCCACTTGTTAAAGTAAAACCGTGAAGCTACTAGGTAGTCGTCCGGTTTAATACCAGAGCTTTCGGATCTCACGCGGCTCGGCTCATTCACGTGAAAGCTGCGTGGATTTCCCTCGCGAATTGCGGGCCCTGATGTAGTATTTCCACACGAGGTTGAGAGTCATGATGCATGACTCATGCAGAATGAGTATTCACTTTAGTACGTTCCAATGTCCTTGATGAAGCCGTGCGCCTACATCTTCGCATGCGTGATTGTTGGACAACTGACCGAGGCTGTGGTCCTCCATGAGCAGATGACCCTGGAGTATGTCTAATCACACATTATTGACCGTACTGTTACTCCTTTCCTAGCGATCCTCTGAGTTCTCATAGCGAGCCGCTATGTGGACTCAGATGTCGCTACTAGCGACTTTCGCAAACTCAACGAGCACTGGAAGAAGGGTGTATTTAGGTATCCCCCTAACCAGCTGTACGGCCCAGTCCTTGCTGATAAGACTTGCCCAACAGTGAACGGCACTGGACAGTACCCTGGCGTGTATTCTAAGGTGAGACAAACCTCTCTCCGAGGACGAACTATCGATTGAAACTCAACAGTTTGTTCGGTGAATAAATCCTCCACTTAGGATCCTCGCTACTCGGTATGCATGCCGATCGTCCCCGTGGCAATGGAGTGTCCGTCTGCCCCAGCCAAGGGCGAACCCGTGCATGATGGGAATCTCCCACTGTGCTTGATTCCGTGTGAAACTGTAGGTCATTGGTCGGATTTCTCAGCTGCTTTATAGTTCCTCTTGAAGCGGACTACTATCGGATCTGGATCACATAGTAGAAAGTATCTGTATGTAGTTTTGATCATTCGGGAATGCTACATGATTATTGTAGGGCTCCAAGTAGCTTCGCTTTCTCGTGGGAGCTGCTACTTCGTGCCACAAGGCTATTCTCTCCTCTTCTTAATCACAGCTGTTCATCACTCTTCAGGGGGCCGATTGTCAAGAGGGAGCTGTCTGCCTCAATACAGGGAAAACTAAGCTGTGCGCATTCTTTAACGCTCATGGTTAAGAATGCCAACCCTTCGCAGTTGGGAGCTTCTATTATTTGATTGGAAAATCTATTCTGATTCTCCAACAAAACATATTTTCGCCGGCACTATTTTTTCGTCGCCATTGGCCATGTCATCGAGGAGTAGGAGTCCTGCGTGACTAAGTTCACTCGAAGCCTTTGGAGATTGAGTAATTTTCGACATTTTCCACTTTTTCCATGCTTGAGGTCTTCTGCAAGCTGAGAGTTGAGGGGCATCTCTAAACTTGCCTCTCTTGGGTTGTGATACGAGTTTGTTGAAGCCCTCCCCCTGCCCGACAGCACGATAGCCCGACGATTCAAGTACCTGACTTCACAGGGGTAGCGTTCGGTTCACCTGACTTTCAATACCTATCATCTAGTCAACCAAAGGTATCTGTTTGGTTGAGAGTTCTGTTCGTAAAAGTATTACGGTAATACGTTAATAAGTGAGAGAATCACTGGGAGTCCCAGTCACAGACAGCGTTCAGGCTAGCTGAATAACGCAACGAAGAGTTCATCAAGTTGCTGTTAGCCGCTGACTAGAATCTCCGCATTACGTCTAGTACAGCCGGTCACGGCGTTGGTCTCATAGACCAGGTCTATGAACTGACACACATATGGGGAGTCTTTTGATGATCGCGAGGTGGACTCGGGCGCTTGTTATCATAGCGAGTGCTATTTTTGAAAAATAATTTTCTATATCTGTCCTCCTTGGCCTGGTTGCAATTTTCGCCTTGGGATTCGCTCATGAACACTGACGGCTCAACAGCGTTGAGTACACCTGTTCAGTCCCTGGACACTATCAAGGTTATTATAACCTTTGTAAGATACATACCGCCGATTATAATGTATCATCGGCGGAAGTGAGCAGCAGGTCTAGAGATTCAAGTTCCGATGATGGACATTGCTGGAGCCCTCTTCAGTGGCCTTCAGATTCTGAACATTGAAGTTCAGAACATACTTGATGCGGTCTATCATAGTGATATACACACCGTCCCTGGAAATCTGCCTAAGATGCTTATCGGAACCGCAAGTACTCTTCACGGCATCATAGTTCTCTTCCAACACTATGTGCTATACCGAGCATTGAGCCGTTATGAGCCGGTATCTCAACTGGTTAAGCTGGGTTCGCTGGACAGGCGAGGTCGAGCAGCAGTCGAAGTCTATCAGGGATCTCCTATGCCTCCAGATGATCCCATTTGAGTCCGTTGTTTCGTTATTCCGTTAAACGCGATATTCAATAATAGATGTAGGACGACGGCGTCGTCACGACGCAGTATTCTGTCACCAACAACACTGAGGACAGCTAAACTATAAATAATAAACTGATGAACAGTAAACTGCAGAGATAGCGATAAGGCGGCTAATTGAAGCAAAAGTAGTGCTTCTTCTACATTGAACGGATATGGCTCTTGAACTTTACGCACAATAACGCTGCGTTGCCTTGTGTGAGAGGTCAACACTGAAGCAGAAACGACGTTTCACAATACATCCAATAGCATCAAAAAAAGTTCAGCTCATCCTCCGAAAACAAGTATTTGCTCTCATGAGGATCGGCTCGTGGAGAAGATAGAAAAACCCATGCCATGTAGTACGTGGCAAGTACTGATCGGTCCGATCAGATCGGACAAAATGAGGGTTGGGGCCCCAACTGGGGGGCATCTATAGTACTCCCAATGTGGTGGAATGCTCAACGGCTCTGAAGTGAACCACAAAGAACTTGACGATTCAGCTTTCATGATGAAAGTTTCATCAGGTATCAGGGTGAAAGTAACGACAATTACTAGTATCAGGAATCCTGATTCAGGATATCAGTACGAGTTAATAATTAGAACTTTCAACTTCGTCATAGAACATTCGTCATAGAGACTCTATGATAGAGTCATAGAACAAGTTCGTCCGAAGTCGATAGGAAGTTCAAGTTCGTGTTAATAGAACTTTTAGTTTCGACTTTCGAACCTTCGAATTCGTCATAGAACTTTCAATTTCATTCAATCACCTTATACAATGCGATAACTGGCCGCAGTTTGTCGGGGTCTCGCACGGTGCGTACGGCACGGATTTTTACTCACGCGGCGATTTCGCTGCAGCCGCTGCAGAACAGCAACGATTAATCAGAGCACCTCATCGCATTTCAAAGACTGAATTTCTTAGTGCTCCTGTGTAAGGATGACAGCTCGAGTATTAGACTCGCTTTACATCTAATAAGAACTCACGAGCTCGCAGTGGTCTTGTGTTGTGGGTCCAGTTTGCCTGCACCCTTGTTATCTCATCAAACATCCGCCTCCCTCTTTATAACGAATGAGCCCAATATCGATTACTGTGCTGCTAAGTGTGTGTAATCGTACAGAACTAAGTGCAGGTAGTGCGCTTATTGTTATTGTCCTAGGGTCGTAGTATTAGTTGCTCTAGCTCGACTTCCCTTGTTGTGTTGTTCTTCGAGTTCATCAACTGATACCCCAACACTCGCAGCTTTGTGCCGTCGTTTGTGGGTTCACGCCATCACGTGTGTGTAGCACCACAGCATTTCGCCACTCAACACACCTATTCCCGAGATGGAACCGCGCAAATGAGGTTCATATCACGGCCTTGATGGATCCGAGATACCGAGTATGTCGGAAGCACCTTTCCAATGATCAGAGAGTAGACCATCCCCCTTCGTATGCGCCTACGGGGACAGCTTGCGATAGGTGACTGCTGTGCGGATCAGCCCTGCTGTAGCGGTGTTATGTTCCACTGAGGGTCTCATGATAGACTCACTGTAGCCCTGTCAGCTGATATGCGAAGGTTTGTCTCGCACAATGAGTGAAATCTGAATGGATTGAGTTCAAACTAATCCAATATTGCCTCCGGTTGGATCGGGACATGTTTGGCTTCACGTCTCAAATGCAGAGTTTTCTGCGTGACCCAAGCATGCGTGAAATCTTTGAGATTCTCCCTCGAGAGTGGCGGCGGTTTCGACATGTCTCTCCCTGAGATTCCCCTTCGTTAGAGTTGATCGTACTCGATGCGTTACATCCTCCTCCTCGTCATTGTCGTCGTCGCTGCTTACTTCAGTGAAGCGGGTCGACTCGACTGTCCTCCATCTTCGGAGACGAAGAATATGGCAACCTATTCTTGGAGGCAAGCCTACTGGACTGGTCAGGACACGACCTTCATAGACTTTTTCAAGTCCGACGTGTCAAAGGATTACAACCGTGGTGATGTTTACCTCAACGTGGCCGATGCCTCTAACGTGGGCAAGATTATCCACCCTGAGAGACTGGCCGAGCTCATCGCCAACTTCCGCAAGGTCAGCGGAAACTCTGCAAGGTTCTACCTTTTCTATGCTCAAGGTGGTGGCGACGATAAGAAATGGGCCCCCGATTTCGTTCGTGTCTTTAAGGAGTTCATCCTCAAGTACGGCAACCCTGATATGGGTAGTCTCGGTATCAGCTTCCATGTCAAGCTTGATCTTGCTACGTGGTACAAGATATTTGATGCTTTCGATGCGCTCAAGACTGACCCACAGTTCAAGCCCTACAACATAGCCCTTGATGTTACGATGAACTATTACAACACTGACAGGAAACTGGTGGACCAGATTATGTTCAGGGCTGATCACGTTACTCTGCTTACCTTCGCCAACACCTCCCCGCGACTTATCAACTTTTTCGTAGTCTTCCTGACCAAAATTTGTCCCAACTGTAACAATAACTACTATCCCAATTACAAGGCTAAGATCACTTTTTTGGCGGAAGGTGATTGCAACTCGGGAGCCTGTAGTAAGACGTCGATGTGTGCTTACTACAGCGATCGCCTTGACAACCCCAATGGAGGTATCCTCTACGCTTACAATCAGCTTTCGACTGCTCTCGACTATGTTCGTGATCATGTTCTGTCTAAGGATAAGTTTGATTACTTCTTTGAAGCCGGTGGTACACATATCGGTCTCAACTTCTTCTCGTGGGTCATGTGTTACTACGGCTCCGAGTCGTGGCATCAGATTGGCCTACAAAAGTGTATCTCCGACTACCAGTCCGCTTCACAGATATGCCGTCAAGGTTAAATAACTTTATGTCTCGTGACTTCATTCGAAAATTATTTTGAAGTCACCATCAGAAGTAGAGCTTCGTGGTCAAATCGCCGAAGTAACTTTCTTTCACACGGGTGTTTTCCCCACGATTACTGCTCATGATCTAAGGATGCCAGATCAGAGTAGAAGTTTCTGGGCAACCACTCGACTCCACTCCGTATTCAAAACCCCTACCAACAGCACGCCTTCTCGACGGTTGGTACTACAATTGATTTCAAGCGACGTCGCGATCTTCGTTCCGTTTTGAGTTAGTTACATGGTAAGGTTAGACTAGGAATCAGAGCGCAGCAAGAGATATTATCAACTTAGCATCAACGCAGCCTGGAGTACATCTTACGTGATAATATGAGTCCGAGTCGTCAGTTGTCTCTTTCGGAGAAACAAACCCTCGGGTGAGCGGTTCCAGATCCGAGCGCACTGAGAACAGATACCATTGAAACGAAACCGTTTACGTTGTGTGAAACTGTATAGATATGAGCGGGAGACGTAACGTCTTATGAGTATACCTCATAGCGAATGAAGAGTACACCAGGAGTCTTCCGAAGCACAACACAGGCATTAATTCCACTCTCGGAAGGGACTACGCCGAATGCATTATGTTGTGTCCGACCATAGGGGATGACCTCAGAAGAAGGAACAGCTGCTCCACCGGTTCGGCTTTACTTGTTCTCTATGGGAGCCCATCAGTCACACGCCGCCTCTTGGTGCATCCAACGTCCTAAGAAGGTCGGCGATGCTTCGGCCAACGACTGCTCTGCAACGAAGCGTCTTCGCCTTCCCCCAGAGAACCTCACATCGTCACTCGCCCACCGAATGGAACCTTCCGTCAAGAGCTCAAGTAAGACATTTGTGACCGCTCGTGAAATTCGTTTTTGCAGCATCAGGTGAGACTCTCCGGGCAGACAGTCCAAGAGTTGATGATAGTCCTCGAGCATCTGATGAACCCTATGAAGTGTGTCTAATTATGGTATCACATCATCGTCGCGCACTGTTTGTCCGATACGAAGACTTGGTTGGTATTTTACAAGGTTCTGAATGAGGGAGGCCAAACTCCGAGCGCCGCCGATCTATTTAATGCACACGAGAGAATTACTCCGAGCTATGAGTCAGACGACTCCGGGACAATGACGGACGCCGCCACGTCGTCTGAGGCCCACTGCATGGTATCCGAGGATGCCGCATCGTCGTCGGGCAACGATGTGAGCTACGACTACGACTTTGAGTGTAGCAGCAGTGGAGAAGAACTCGATGGGAGACGAGTTGAAGAAGAATATATCACCACCGCCATTGAAGCGCCTCGAGACAGCGACGGTCAGGCCACTCATGAGCTCCACACTGATGGTCTCCCCGAGGAATCATCCACGACGAAAGACATCCCGAAGGTGATGGGCGTCGAAGGCGTTTATAATAACGAAGGGGATATGCCGGAGACCAGGTACCCCAGTGATGTTGATAGGACCCCTCGAGGTGCTTCACGAGCTGGCAATAACTATTCGGAAACTCGACCTTCAGACGAGTCCACCAATCTATTCACTGTTCACTCCACGACTACCAAACCGCACAGTGGAAAGCAGAAGCCTCGTCATCGTCGAGGAGTGAGAGGATGATTGTTGTTCATCATGTTACTCCATGAAGCATCATGTTACTTTACTGACCCTGTCCAGTATCATGCTCAGACAGGGATAGCGCTTGTTGCGTTCGTAGTTGGTTGGAAACCTTTCATTAGGGGGTTATGGTGGTTGAACTATCGAATCATATCGAAGTAGCACGCACTCTCAGCTACAACGACATCCTGGCCGAGGCGATCATGTTCGAGCCTAAGGCGGCGTAAGAGGAGCGGGTTTATCGTTGAGCATCATTAATGGGTATCTCACGGAGGACGCGTCGCTGTCCATAATTGTGGGCAGTGACGATTGAAGTGTCACAGACTGCAGGCTGGAGAAAGAATTTTTGCTATGATCAGGAAGCCGCGTTCCAGAACGGGGCACTGTGAAATTTCGATGGTGAACAGGAGGGCGATTCCTCATGTGGGGTAAGTTCCAGTTGAGAAGATCAAGCCTACACACAGTATAAACTTCACTCAAACCAACGTGCTGAAGATAAGAATATATAAGTGTCACTCGACACCGTGTTTTCGGTATTTCTCATTATCACTGAGAGCCCACAGCATGCATCTCAGAGCAAGGGCAGTTCCCATCATTGTTCTACTCATCGTGCGAAAGCCAGTGTCGACTTGCCGACTATTCATATCTTGAGCTAGAGCTGGCAACTACAACATAAATGATACTCACGCTCCTCGAGGTAAATAATTCGACCTGCGAAACACCGGTCGTACAGGTTGGTGTAGACTCCCATCATAGAATCCCATCAGGATTCTATGCGTCATAATGGACAAGAAATGTTCTATACTTTTCTCCAAGTTGGAGTTGATGGAATCAACTTGTTCAACTGAGCTACGCCTAACGAGCCGCTAGCACCAGCGGTTGGTAAATGTGGAACAGCAACCGCGAGCAAACTCGGCCACAGACTTGACGACTGACAGTTGACAGAACTGAGACGTACCAGTCACTAGGACACAAATTGTTCTCCATAATAGGAAACTTTTCTTGCGAATACCTATCCAGGTTGGTCTTGAACTCAAGGATCAAATTTGACGCTCATCGTATGACCGACAATTCTGTTTTATTTGACGAAACGAGATTCGGTACAGTTTGTGATGAGGGTCGAGTCCACTGAGACCTCAAGTGAACCCGGAACACTCGACTGTTCTAACTTAAGTTGAGTTAACACCACGTGTGTCTTGCACTGGTCTATTCTCCATGGTCTCACGTGGACGCGAATGTCCTGAGTTACCTCTCAATACCATTCTCAGCTCACTAAAACTCATAAACTCAACTCAGCACTAACGTACTGCAATCATGGAAGCCATCATGACTGGGCCAGCCTGGAGTTGTGTTGCACACTTTACCCCCTCTAGCACGTCACGCACCATCCGCTCGCATCAGCTTCTGACATAGACAGTTACGCGTTAGGCGTTTACGCGGAAGTGAATTGCTGTGGACTTCATTTCGAGAGTAGTACCCCTAGGGTACCTACCTGCAGCACTCCTACTACGAAAGCGCACTCAGTGACGATGAGGACGGCTCCGAAAAGACCGACGAAGAACTTGGTGAGCGATCGCCTCTGAGTTTCGCTGATAGCAGCAGTCCTATTATCACGGAGCATCACTGCGAGTTAAGAGATGATAACAAGTTACTGTTTCTGAGAGCTACACGCCACAGTTGCGGTGGGCTTCCCATCTCAAGAACCTTCGAAATCAGGTCGCTATCGTCTAGCGGTTAGGACGTCACGTTGTGGCCGTGACAACCCCGGTTCAAATCCGGGTAGCGACTTTCATCCATTACTGAGGCGAACAACTACTCCGGACATGAAACAGCTCGTAAGCTTGCTAATCAATAGACCAATCATCGTTATTTGCCGAATTTGTCAACCATCAGTTCATTGCGGACTCGTTTGTATTCAGCTGCATTAAAAGCCGTATCGGTGACTCTGGTGTACTCCTCAAATAGTGCGGTCTACAACAAGGAGCATGCTCCTTGTCAACAACTTCGATGTACTTAGAGGAGCCCACCTTCCACTGCTTCCAATTCTTATCATCTCTATTCAGTATCGCCAACGCCATCTCCGTCCTACTGATGATAGTCACCGCATTCTTCAGTTTAACATAAATGCGAAACATCAATCTCTCCTTATAGTGCTGCAGAAACCTAAAAACTGAAACCTATCCTGTGTCACATAACTGGAGAGTAGCTCTCACTGATAGTCTTCAGAGTTCTTCCGACAAGTTTTCCCTAGATGGACCAATTATCCAACATCCAATGCCGCACTTCATCAACTCCCTCATCATCCTCCTCAGCATCGCTGGAGGTGAGGCCCTGAGCTGGAGTCTCTCCCCCTTCCAATCCAGTTGACAGTAACGGCGTCATTCCATAGGATCGGTACCAACTGTGGCCATAGTCAAATCGACGACCATAGTCATCACTGAGCTGCTTACTATCTGATATCTCCGTCCCAGACCCTCCTCGAGTCGCACATTCTCCCATTCAGGCGTGCATCCAACTTCCATCGTCGTCGATTGCACGCCAAACAACAGTCTCCCTCTCTAACAATACATCAAAATACCACCACCCGGAATCGAACCCGCGCACGCACCTCCTCAGCAGTCTCGTGCTCTCCTCATTTATCTGCGTAGGTCTTGAGATTAAATCCGGATACAAATCCAGTCCACGACGATAGCGACCTACGTTGGCGAACAACACTGTAGTTTCACCCTAGTGATATCAAAAGCACTACTGAAATATATATTTCACGACTACTACATATGACCGCGAATATTGCGTTTTTCACAGAGAATCGCGCCACTTCACGTGAAACGGGTGGTGACACTCCCTCCCCTCTCCCACCTCCATGAGCATCCCAAGCTGTAGTGCTCCTAGCCGATCTAGCCTGCTCCAGCTCCCCTTCAATACGCTTAACCGAGGCCGCGTATTTCTCATTCATTTCAGCATCCGGCTCGCACATAGAGACCGTGAGGAATTCAAGATACTCATGGAACGCCTAAGGCCGATAATTTCGTGGCGCAGTGACGTTTAGCAAGTACTATTTCTGGAGACCTTATTTTTGCCCCCACCGTAAGACCAGCCGACTGCCGTTTTTTCTGCCGTTCCTCATCCATCTTCTCATTAATCAAATTATATCGGGCCACGACTCCTCCGTCCGAACCCTCCTCACCTGATGCAGACCGATTCTCCCAATGCGCTACTCCGACGGACACACTCTCCTCCTCATTTGAAGTGTCGTCGTTTATAAAACTCTCCTCCTCCTCTTCCTCCTCTTCATAATCATCATCATTCACGAAGCTTTCATCCTCCGAAAAGGCTTCATTATACCCTCCCTTAGCTATCACCCTCCTCAGTTTGAACTCCCCCTTCACGTCCGAAACCGAAAGTCGTCTGAAGCGAACAACACGTATAAGCTCTGCTCATGGGCATCCTATTCATCATCATCGATAACATCACATTAAATTCAGTGCTACCATAGGCGTTCACTACTTCCAAATCTCCCCAAAAACAATAGAGAACAGGAAAGAATTCACGAAGTACATAAAAATAGAACAGTGCCATAAAATTTTTTCCTCGAAAATCGATTGCGAACAGGTTCCATGCAATATAATTCCATATAAGAGGACTTCATGGCTGAGTGAGTTGGACTTAAGTATGTAAATTGGTACCTGAGCAATGCTCAGTGAGCATTATCGTTAGTTACTCTTCGATCCCGTACCCACTGGTATATATTTAACCGTTCTATAGGAAAAGTTATCTCTTCACTTCAAGATGATTTTCATTTATTATACCCCGGTTCTCTTTCATTTTCTAAGATGGTGTAATTCATGACTTCACATTTTTAATGTCTAGATGATGAAGGCCCATCCCTAACCCACCTCCTCTCCGGCCTCACAGACGGGGCAATATGGTCTCCATCGGAGCTCCCATCACCATCATCAGAAGAGGAGGATGATGATGATGACGATGAGCTAAGGTATCTGCAAACGAGGTAGCAATGGAGTGGTAACGGAGGAAACACCCAAGAGAGGCAGAGGCTTATTCCTACCTCTTGAGATCTTCATCACCGACTTCGCTACATTTCCTAAGACGCCTTTTAGGAGATCCTTGTTGCACTGAATCGTCCGACACGGATGAAGACCGTGAGCGTGTCCGCTTTAAGAGTCGTCGTTTGGGCATTTTAACGTAATAATGAACTTGAAGTCGAGATTTCCCAAACTACCTTCGTTCACTACGAAAGACTACGGACAACACCAGTAGACGCGTTAGAGTGTTCTGTTGGAGTGTTCCATCGACCTTGTATGAACAAACCACTCCTCATTATAGTTCCATCGACCTTGTATGAACAAACCACTCCTCATTATAGTTCCATCGACCTTGTATGAATGAACCACTCCTCATTATAGTTCCATCGACCTTGTATGAATGAACCACTACTCATTATAGTTCCATCGACCTTGTATGAATGAACCACTACTCATTATAGTTCCATCGACCTTGTATGAACAAACCACTCCTCATTATAGTTCCATCGACCTTGTATGAATGAACCACTACTCATTATAGTTCCATCGACCTCGTATGAATGAACCACTACTCATTATAGTTCCATCGACCTTGTATGAATGAACCACTACTACACAACAACATAATTATATTTTTAATTATCACTTTTCAATTTCAACAAGGCCGAGTAGTTTCTCAGCAAATCCGTACGCGTCCACCTGAACACGTCCAATTCGAAAACTACAGTCGTTATAAAATTTAAAATTTTCCGGAATAATTTCGTGGCGCGCGGTAATGCAGTAACAACCCACCTCCTCCTTTCCCTTGTAGCCCGTCTCACGAAGCATTCTGTCGAAATTCTTCGCAGTGCGCTCATCATCATCACCACAAGATATCAAGGCGGAGCGAAGCGTCGATAAAGATACCACATCGTTTGAAATGCCATTTCCTGATATACGCAAACTCTCGGAAGACCTATGTCGCGCGCTACAAGGTTGATCGCGCTCAAGCCCATCGAGTTTCAGTCACCGAATTTCGCTGAACACTTCATCGAGGAGGCCTAGTACGAGTAATATTCATACATATATTATAGGCGTATATATGTATTTTACATATTCGTTGTATTACTGTGAATTCAAATTTGATTTTCAAATAATTTTTGAGTTGTTTTGAGAAAAAACAAGTCCAGATCGAGAGGTGATTCTGCTAGAGTGGGGTTATATAATTGAGAATTGTAAAAGGAATTTTAGAATGTGAATTTTTCACGCACGATTATAGCTTTAATGTTTTGAAATAGTACAGTATATACGTTCACTGGAGTAATTTCGTGGCGCGCGAAAAATATCCCAGCGCCTACCATCACCCAGAAGCTTCAGAGCATCTAACGTTTCGTCGAACATAACCGTCGAGTTGCACCCAATAAGTAGTTCATCACAGAGGACCTCAACGGCCTTCGAAAAATCAAAATAATTCACCTGAAAAAGGCGGAGCGAAGCAACTCTTACTAATCATCTTATTCATTCACACTTTCTCATTTTGCAGTTTTTCTATCAGTTTTTGCAGCTGTTCGTCGCTGGGACAAAAGCCAGCCAGTCGGATGAAATGGCCAAGGCTATTATCCACTTCGAGTACCCCCTCCCTGATCACATTAATATATGACTTCGACGAGACTCATCTAATAAGAGTCTTATTCCACACCTGCACTACGTATGAAATACACCGCTTTCAACGAGAGATGGTATTAAACAACACTCAAATTCTGCCCATTTTTACTCCTCACGGACTACAGTAAAATACCCGAACTTATATAATCAAAATGAATGCTACTACTAAAATCCAATATATGAGCGATCACAGGTCGTACCCTCAAACTTCCTAAACTCACTTATGTTCATCTAGAAAGGCGAACACGAGCCGGTAACGCTCCAGTTGAATTGGTGAAGGAGTGGTACTCATCAATAGAGCGGTGATAAATTATCAAGCGAGGGAAAGTATTGTTCGTTTCCGTACATTTCCAGTCGGTCTCGTGTAGGAATTTGTAACTCCTGAGCTCAACTGAGGGAAGCGAACATATATATTCCTCCAACACTGCCAGACAGTAAGAATAGGCCCTATTCAATAGGGTGATAACAAATACCAAACTCTACCATAACTCTTTCAGTTGATGAAGATGATGATGATAAACTATCTTCGTTTAACGCAGTATACAGGATTCGCCAGTTATTCGAGAAGTTCTCTTGTAACTTTTCCACACCTGTTGTGCAATTACGAGTGGTTATTGTTGTTAGACTCTGTGTGAGAGTAACCGCACAACTTAACTCGATACCTTAATAGTAGAGGGTAGAGTATAATAGGAGTGACAGAGGGTGGTCCAGTGCGTGTAACGCAGACCAACTCAAAAACGAATAAACCGGGGCGGAATAATTAACACCATTTAAAACGGTTCAATATACCATTACGAAATGACAAGCGCCTATCTTCGCCATTTCCTTCCCAGAATATCCATATTTTTACCATCACATGTAATACATTCCCACACTACCCGCCAGTGGTCGCGTCGTCACATCTTGAGCCTTTCTGAGATTTCGTTTTAGCGCGCGCCCAGATAATCTTTAACATTAATATCGATAGACACATGGATCAGCTTCGACCCGGCTTGGTGAATTTGTACTTTCTGGTAGAAAAATGGTAAAGTAGATTTCCCACTTAGATGGTAATGTGTTGCAAAATCGAGTTGCAAATTACTTTGAAGTGGTTTTATATTGTTAATTATTCGAGGATCCCCGCCGGGTATCTTTAGGTTGAGCGCACAAGATACAAAATAGGTCCAGTGAGAGCCTGTCGTAATCGATTATCAGTTCTCTCTATTGCGAAGTATGGCAAGTCAACTGCAAACTCCCTCACACGGCTTTGGTGGTAACCCATCCATTTTCGACACCTCCCCTGGTGTTGGCAACGACAACTACTCCTCTACCACTACTACAACTACATGGTATCGTTATTGGAACGAACAATATAATAGATACTTTTTCTGGCAAGAAAATAATTCTATATCGACTTGGGACATGCCACCCGAAAGCGACACGGTTATTGACTATACCACTAAAGAAGTGGTATCAGGTCCGGAGCTCAGCGCTGAGGAAAACAATAACACAACTCCTGATGGTACTATCAAAACGACTACTACTACTATTACTACTACTACTACTACTACTACTACTACTACTACTACTACTACTACTACTATTACTACTACTGCTACTACTACTACTACTACTACTACTACTACTACTACTACTACTACTACTACTACTACTACTACTACTACTACTACTGCTACTACTACTGCTACTACTACTACTACTACCACTACTACTACTACTACTACTACGACTACTACTACTACTACTACTACTACTACTACTACTACTACTACTACTACTACTACTACTACTATTACTGCTGCTACTACTACTACTACTACTACTACTACTACTACTACTACTACTACTATTACTACTACTGCTACTACTACTACTACTACTACTACTACTATTACTACTACTGCTACTACTACTACTACTACTGCTGCTACTACTACTACTACTATTACTACTACTATCATGTTCTTCCGCTCAGATTTCATGCTGCTCCAACAACAACCACCAAGTGGAGCTTCTTCGCACTACACCCCAGTCGATCCAGTAAAAGACGTCCTTAACGGTTATGATCATTCGGGATCATCATCATCTACTACCGGTGGCCTCTTTGGTGTATCACCGTCAGCAGCGACAGTCGATTTTCTCAAGGACGGGAGATCGAGTGACATACCACCCAGTAGTATGTTTGAGGATAGGTAAGCATCGGAATGCAGCTTCTATAACTATCACGATTAATGTGGGAAAATATGCACATGCTCCCGTTGGTAATAGGAGAATTTTTAGGAAATTTTCGGGAAAATTTTGATTGGTTTTCGCACACTTCTACCTGAGTTTGTATCGTGAATTCAGCTGAGGAAAGTGAGCAAGTATTCCTCCAATGCTGATCACGCTTCCATTCAGTCGTGTTATGACGAGTCCTGTTGCGGACCTCTCGTGGCTGGGCTCCAAGCCAGCGACTTACAACCAGGAATTGCCAACTCAACGGTTGTCGAGTACAGCGCAACGGTTGGTTTCACCACCCGAGTTGACATATCCTCCTATGGGAGATCCTCTATTCTCGACAGTGCGAAGCGCATTAGATGGTATGGGAACTCCACAAGAGGCGGCTGGTTACGGCGGCTTTGCGGTAAAATGGGTGTCGTTCGTATCAGGGACACATCTAGCGTTCCCTAGGGTTTGATAACAATCGGAAAATGTTGATCTCGTGATGATTTTTACATCGGAAATTGATTGAAGAATGCGCTCTTCCTAGCCGTTTAGAAATTTCAAAATGAGTTTCCCCTGGAACATATGATATTAACATAATATAGGCTCCTGGGTGATTCTCTGAATCGTGAGAGTATTCTTTCTGCTGTAGTCGCGTATTGGGAGTCAGCGTCCTCGGCCGGTGAATCTTCATCAACAGCAGAAGCAGCAACAAGCGTCAAATATTTTGGATAAAAAGGTGCAAGAGGTATTGAAAAAAGGGTCTCTTTTGGGCCTATTTTGTATCTTCCATGGTGGAAGCTAAGATTCTCAGGAGCACGATCGTTTAATCGCTGAGCGAATGCAGGCCGAGCTGGATCGAGAATATGAAGAACGTTTAACCTCAGCCCCTCTCCCGTGCGAGGCGGTTCAGCACAAACAAAAGAAAAAAGAGAAGAAAATGGGGAAAGTAATAGAAAAAATTTTTTGTGTAAAAATTATGGTGACGCAATAACACTCAGATGCCCAAGGCGGTAAAAGCTGTGAAAGCTTCATCTGCGTCCTCTACTCCTTGGGGGTCTCCTCCTAAAAACGAAGAGGTTAATAATAACGGTAACGCGAGTGCAGAGGAGGACTTAGCACACGAGATGGCAGCACATGGTATAGTGTTGAAGAAAGCTAAAGTGAAGTCGCATAAAAATGGCCGTCAACAGAATCAAAAGGTCATTCCAGTGGGGAGAAAATAATAGTCGGTTAAGGCAGGGGAGAGTAAAGAGAGAGATGTGGTATCTTGTGATTTACTCAGCCGTAGATGATCGTAGGATGGTATCTTTACGCACAGCGAAGATTTTCATACCTTTTTTCGGATACCCAGTTGGAAATTCTTCCGCGTGCGCAAAGATATGCTGATGTTGATTGTGATTATCTGCCATTCCGGTGTTGTCACTAAGTGTCCCCTAAGTACTCTCTCCTCATCATCCTCCTCGTTGTTGTTGTTATTGTTGCTACTATTACTTTTCGTAGCTCACATCACCATTATCCGAAGCACTTAAGTCACATCGTAAAACCATCTGTAGTCTTGTCACTGTTGTGTTGGTGTGGAAGGGGGGTATTGTATTGTAGATGTGGCGGAAGGATGGTATGGAACGCTCTGGTTTGGAAAATAATTCCGAAGGTGATATGGTTATATTTGGTCCAGCAAGACGGCAGGATGGCGCATACGTTACTCATGAGGAGCTCAAGACTTCACTCGACAGAGTAGTACGCATCGTTTCTACCTGGCATGCTCAGGTTTAGGTCCACCAACGATGCGAGGCAGCACTTAGTGGAGAAGGCAGTAGCTCTTCGAGATTTATCTCCCCTGATGATCCCATCTACAGGTAGTAGTGTGTCTAGGGGGGGAGGTCTATGGAGAGGTGGTCAGGTCTATGGTTGGTAGAATACAGGAGTTGGAGACTGCCGCATTACGGAAGGGTGACAGGAGTATTGTCGAAGGGTGGTTGGAAGTAGTGGTAGTAGTAGTAGTAGTAGTAGTAGTAGTAGTAGTAGTAGTAGTAGTAGTAGTAGTAGTAGTAGTAGTAGTAGTAGTAGTAGTAGCAGTAGTAGTAGTAGGAGTAGGAGTAGGAGTAGGAGTAGGAGTAGGAGTAGGAGTAGTAGTAGTAGTAGTAGTAGTAGTAGGAGTAGTAGTAGTAGTAGTAGTAGTAGGAGTAGTAGTAGTAGTAGTAGTAGTAGTAGTAGTAGTAGTAGTAGTAGTAGTAGTAGTAGTAGTAGTAGTAGTAGTAGTAGTAGTAGTAGTAGTAGTAGTAGTAGTAGTAGCGATTGTTCATCTCAGCTGAGATGGCAAGTTTCCTAACTACATAATGACAACCACTACACGACTTGGAGTAGAAGTGTATAAAACCCAAACGAAAATTTCCCCAAAATTTCTCTCAGAATTTTCGTACTAGTAGTTGAGGCTGCGCATATTTTTCCTAATTGGTGATGATGACACTCCTCTAAAGCTGTATTCAGTAGTCGTCGTCATACGAAGAAAGGCGCAAGCTGGAACGTACAGTAGCAGATCTACAACGTAGTGTTAAGCGGATGCAGTTTCGCGATGAGGTTGGTATTAATCGTGCTGGGATAGGGTATCTTAGGTTGCCAGGCGAAAGATACGTTTGAGGCCCGATTGAGTAACATAGAAAATATTACCAGAGAATTGTCACGACGGGGAATCGAACCGGAGACCTATCTAAATGACAGGTGCCTTCAACCTTCAGGGGGCTTTGAGACATGCGTGGTTTAGATTCGACGCCCTCAAGGATGGACTCAGTAGTAGTCTTGTCGCTTTTTTGGAGGATTTCAAAAATGATACCACTCGCCGGGTTAGTAGCGGAGGATCTTGGAAGTTTGAAGAACTCATTGATTTATCGTTAGTTGGAGGAGATTCACCGTCAGTCGGGAACAGCACAGTTAAGGGAAGAATTCACAGACGTTTTAATGGCAGAGGGACGGAGGATCGATGGACAGATTGACCAGTTGAGGTCTGACCTCGAGGCGCGAATTGACGAAGGAGTGGTATGAAAAATTAATTCGACATATTATTGTAGAGGAGAGTCAGGCGTCATTGAAGTTGGAAATACAAACTGCTATGGTTGCCCACGACCGAGTTTCCGTAGCAGTAGGGTCAGAGCTATCTGGTGTGGATGAGTCCCTCTCCTCACGAGAAAAGGAATCTAGTGTTGGTAGTAGTAATGGTGGCTCTCCAGATGCTCTATTGGAAGAGTTGACCGGGGGGAATCATGATGATGATGATGACAACTGACGACATGTTATTTTCCACTGATACTTTGTTGTGGTGGGCCGCCTCGTCGTGGTGAATTTTGAGATTGTATACCACAAAATTGACAGATATCATTCATGAGGGTTTGTTTGATATTCATTTTAGTGATTTCTCAGGCGGTAGTGAATTCCACGATGACTAGGGTTAATGAACCACTATGCTGAGCATTTCGGTGGAGTTTGTGATAGTCATATTTTTACTATCCGATGTGGGAAAATATGCACATGATCAACTACGTGTGTTGGTGACAATAGAAAAATTCTGGGAGGAAATTTTAGAATTTGGTTTTTCATACACTCCTACTCCCAATCGTGTGGAAATTCCTGAGCTCAGCAGCTGAGGAGAGCAAAACGTATTTTCTTTCAACACTGCTACAGTACGCGCATTTTGAAGGTCCAATTTCGTGTAGCAGTTTTAGCTTCCTAACGGCTGTTCATATCAATCTGATTCTTTCTACAGGAACCCTCTAAACTTGCTTAGATATGCCATGGATTTGGTTTTCGGAAAAAATGCATTTTTTTTCCAAAAAAATATCACTTGTACCCATTGTGTAGAAAATTGTCCCTTTTTTCGATGGCTACCCCCTCCCCCATCGTTTCCTTCACTCCGCGGAATTTCCGTCCATCATCGGCGTCAATCGTTCGCTTCTTCCGATACGGTAGCGATGATTCGCTTCTTGTGGTGGGCTCTCCCAATGAGGAAAATTTGATGGTAATACTGGTCAGTTTTCGGACCTCATCCGTATCTTAGCCGCTTGAACCTAAGATTCAGCAGGTCTTTCGGTATCGCTGTGAAGGTGATGACCATCCGCAAGTGGAGGAAGTGTCGGAGCTCCCCGGTCACAACATGGGCGTATCGGACATTGCTGTGAACTCAGTTGGAACAAGTGAGGTTCACTTTTTGAGGATATATAAAGTTGAGGCCAGCGTGAAAAGTATAACACGTTCAATGAGTTCTTAAAAATTCACCACATTACCAAAATTATCGCTTTACACGTTAGTACGAATCTTCACTGTGCTAAAATACGGCGAGCATCAACCACATAACAGAGGCTTCTGACCTCAGCCATAGGTAGTTACCCTTCAGAACTTCCCGAGAATCGTCGTTAAGATGTGTCTTTTAATTGTATAATTTAGCGGTGAATCAGTATTCTCTCATCAGTACTCCTGATGCCTTCTCACTCAGTCATCGTCACAAGCGGGTTGGACTCAACCGTTCGAGTTTGGAAACGGTCACGGCAGGGGAAATACGAACACTAGTATCATCATCATCATTATTGGAGTAGGAACCTCTTTACTCAGTCGTAACATTCCAGCTGTTGGAGGGAAGACCATCGACATCGGCGATATTGATCACATCGCGATCCTTACTCGCGAGGCCGGTCGCTACAATGTTCTGGTGAGGACTTCCCCGTCGCACTGGTGGTAGCAAGATTCCCCTTACAGATCTCCGTTGGGTCAGCCGGTGGGAAGATCCACTTCACCGATTTGGCCACTGACGCTTCCTCGGACACAGGTGGAAGAGGGACGAAGCGCCCCGTACGCCGACTCATCCCTCCAGTGGACTGTCTCTATCGCGGAGCTAAAAAGACCTATCTCGGCTGTGTTACGGCGATGCAGTTGGTGAGCAGCAACTCTGTATGGGGCGGTATCATCGACTGTGTCAGTCTGAGGATGGCTCTTACTTGGCTTATGGGACTTCGAGTGGGTACGTGGGTGTGGCTCGCCTCGTATGCGATGTCGAGGAAAGCAGTCTGCGGCTTGAGTGTGAGCTCAGAGGAGTCCTCAGATGTAGTCGTGGGGGCGCTCTTTGTGAAGGGTGATAGTAGTAGCCGCTCAGGTTTCAAGTCGGCTATATCTTCCCCAGTGCGTTGTCTTGCTACACACGGCGACACTTTGTTGGTGGGAGGCGAAGCAAATGTTGGGCGAATTATGGCAATCGATATGTATTCAACGGGTGTGGGAATCGAACCTGTGTAGTCTTGAGTTCTATTTAGGTCGCGAGTGTCGGGCTATCTGGTGGACGAGAGTGGAGAGAGGAGCAGTGGTTCGAAGAGTCGAAAGACTAGAAATCCCGCAGTAGTGTCAACTTCTCTATTAGCCTGGAGGTTAGCATGTCTGGCTGTCAATCTGTAGATCCTCGGTTCAATTCCCCTCAACTACACTTGTCGTTTAAGAGCCATACTCGTTTCTGAGTCCCAAGGGCATCTGCAGCATCCCTCCTTCCTCCTATCTCTAGTGTAACTAAAGGACTTCCCTTCCCGAGATCATCGCCCTCATACAGGTCCTCGGACGGGATAGTGCAAAGCCATGAGCTCCCCCAAGGGCCCGAGGGCTGGGCGGATGACCAACCCGAGCCTAGTACCGTCAATTTCTTGGATCTCCGGTCGGCAGGTGACGTTTTACCCTCTATTTTTCGTGTATTTTTCCTATTAGGAACCCTCAAGCTTTCTCCAGTGACAATCTGTGGAGTGGCTACAGCTGCTCTGAAGACTCCTCCTGCCGCTGCCTCGTGGCACGACTGTGCGATAGTTGCCCTGCCGAATGGGAGTATCGAGATGTAGGAGGCGAATGAGGTCCTTTCGAGGGAGGAGTAACCGTCAGTTACCAACAACGCGAATGCTCTCCTCCTAATATGCCGGAGTTGCCTATTGAGGTCGAAGGAGGCGTCTTTGATATGTTTAAATCAGCAGCATCACAACATCGTCAGTTGAATGTTGCAGAGAATTGGAATCAAGAGTTGTTGACCAAACACTATGAGGAGCCTCCCCCAGCAACAACTGCCGCTACGCAAGGAGGTTGGAGTATGCGGGTGTTGCAGGAGTACTCAGGCGCTATCTCAGGTAATGCCACAAGACCTGATGATGTTGAAATGGAGGGCGTGGACGGAGGGAAGCCCTCAGGACCTGTCGAGGCGGCAGGGCCATCATCGCCTTTGATCACGTCAACACAGCCTATGGTCGGCTCGTAGAGTTTCGTGAACGCTGCTGGGATTGAGTTCGCCATAAACAGAGGCATTGCAGTCGATGGTGTGAAATCAGATGCAGTTGTGTGGTTACGTAAAGTTGCTCGTCATGCCGCACTGGGGTACCACAGCCCCTCGTCGTGGGGCTGTGAACTTGGGCAAGGTTCGAAGATTTAGGATTATTGGGAAAATGTGGACATGATATATGCCAATTTGTGTTTTGTTCCACAGCATGCCCGAGAGGCTGAGCTCCAGCAGAGCACGAGGATTCGTATAATCAGCTGCATGTGGTCAGTTTTGATGACAGATTGGTAGCACATGGTGTACGTAGTGTTCGTGTCGCGAGATATCGCGCTGGCTGAGTTTCCCTCTGCTGAGCTCAGGAGTGTTTTCAATCATAGAAGTTTACGAAAAAAATCGGTAGAAATGTATAAGAACCAACAAGAATTAACTCAGAAATTTCACAGAAATTTTGGGAAATTCTTGTAGGCTTCTGTACATTTCTATTCGAATTCGTGCGTAAACTTCGGAAACCCCAAAACTCCCGAGCTGAGCTGAGGAAAGCAAAACTTTTTTCCTCCATCACTGGGATGATACGCATCTGCTAGAGGTCATAATAAT